AAAAAAACTAATTCTATTACAACACGATTTGTTTTGGCAGTCACTACGTCACTACTACACTTACCTCTATAATACATGTTAAAATTAAAACAGACAACTTCATTACACACGAAAGTTGTTCTTAAAAATATTGATTATTTTTAAGAACAACTTTCGTGTTTTATTTTAAAGATATTGAACGTTCGTGATTAAAGATATTGAACTTAATAATAGTACAAAACAAAATCCATACTTGTATCTTATTAATTGCCATACATAAGATAATGAAATAACTGCAAATGAGACCATTTTAGAAGCGTTTACCTAAAGCTAAGCCTGGTGGAAAGTAGAGATTTAATGAAATATCCTGTATTGTGTGTTACACACAAAATAATCTGGGAACGAAACATCGACATGGTTACACAGTAACATATTGAAATTTTTCAATATAACCTTCAATATTTTTTCTTTGTGGTAAGCAGCACAGCTGAACCTCATAAACTCATAATTGATATATAAAAGGCGACTAAAGTCATACATTAAAGAACCGAATAACAACAAAATGTCGGAGAAGTTCAGACGTATACACAGAGCGACGATGGACAGTGGCACCCGTGGTGGCCACATCGAGTACTGCGCTCGTCAAACCGTTTTCGACGATGAAGGCGAGACACCTACGACAGAAGACCTCCATAATATGTTAAGTCGTGTTGCAGAATTCATTACACAGAAATGTTCAACATATTAATATGGTGTCACGTTGTATCATTAGGACTATCATAAGAACTCAACAAGACACGACAAATCGCTTGTTACCGAGATCATTTTTTTTAAATTCTTAGTTTAACAAAAATTGCTCCACCGTCACATCTACGATCTAGGATTCTTTCTCATTCATTCTCTATCGATCAGTGTAAGATTGGCAGATACATAAGAACACAAAATTTTTAACAAATTCAAAATAGGTGCCTATGGAAGTTTCTTTCTATTTCTTAATCGGTCCATAAATGTCTCTCGGTGGACATTTACCTGTCCCGGTGTGGCCGGATTGACTATCGCAGGTCTAGACGTCTCGCACTTTTGGATGCTACTGCCAACTGCTGGTCCGTTTGTAACATCTGACGCAAACGAAATGTACCGTCAGCTATCAGAAGCTATAAGATCTTACAGTTGGGTTGATGTCTCAAACGCCATTACCACTTTTTGGGATATGAATTGTTGATTGTACAACACAGTTTTATATTTCTCCTACATATACAACAGGGTGTACAAATTCGACCAGGATGTGATTTTTTTTACATAAAACATTATTTTTAACATAATAGAAATTATTATTTAGTAGTAACTGGTATGCAAGAAAATGTCCTTATTTAAACTTATGATGTATATTTTAAATGCAAAAATCGTCAAAAAAATCTAAATTATTAGACGCTCCAATTCCATAAACCTATTAGTATTAACATACTTTTAATATATACAAGTTACCAGGGCTAACAAATCATGACTTTTTAAATTATTTACTAATGAAAATTTAAAATCAAGTACAATTTGCTATTTCCAAGTCATTATTACATCAACATTTAGCATTAAAATTATTTCAGTCCATCATAAGTAACCCTCAGGCTGCCTCAAAGCAATATTTGGTTTTTTGAGATATTTAAACAGTAATTAAATTTTAAACTTTTTACTCCAGCATCTGTGATACATATCGGAGGCGGTTACGAGGCTTGGTTTGGTCGCTCCTGTAAAATTGCATTAGTATAAACTATAAGCGGAAGTGTTGCCTGGTCTAAGCCAACGCATCGATGTCCCGAGACGTAAACACACACACACACACTTTTAAAAAAAGTATAATTCTGGCCGCAGGTCCTTCGAAAGCATTATTACCAAGGCAAAGTCAGAGCAAACCTAGATGACGTTCCTTCGGGAAACCGTGCATTCCGATCTTTCGCCAAGGCTTTTCGAGTAAAATTCGACTCTCGAAAACACACTGCCGACTATCTTTCATTGTGTGCTCCATGATAATGCGGTGTGATTGATGTGCGGTTCACACAGCGCTCAGTACGCAAAGCACTCGTCTTCCTGGACATCCACAAGTCGAGTTGACCTGATGGGATCCCCCCAGAACGTGTGTGGGTACTCCTGCTCTTTAGGTGTTGTCCCGAAGTCTTGGACAACTTTTGTGAACCCAATCTCTAACAAATCTCTGCTCCATGCAACTACTACTGACCTATCGCCGTCACTTCCTGTTCTCTAAAATAATGAAATCTGTTATTAACTCCCAGTTCATGAGCTACCTTGGGGAGCACAGCTGATTAGTGAAAGCCAGTACGGTTTCGGTCTTGGTCGCTCATCTGGATCTCCTGGTTTACCCGATACATCAATGGGCGAAGGCAGTTTTTTCCAAGTAGCTCTTCCTTGGTCTCTTTATTAGTTTGAACATAGCGAGAGCCTTGGATCGCGTTTGCCCTAAATCACTTCTTTAAATGCTTCCCCCTTAAGGATTTCTCGAGAAATTATGCAATTGGGTCACCAATTTCCTCGCAGGTCGGAGTATTAGCCGTATTCACCGGTGCAGTCTCGGATTCAAAGCCTGTGAATGTTGGTATTCCACAAGGCTGCATGCTATCGCCTACACTGTTCCTTTTGAATATCAATGACATGCTGCATAGTGTGACATTCATTTTCATACAGACGACAGCACTGGCGATGCTTTATAATAATTTTTATTCCCAGTTGGATTCAGTTTAAAAAAACATTCAACCCACGTTCAAATATTCTAGAGTGATCTTGAAGACTTATTATCGTTTTATAAAAACAATTGCAGCAAATCTGGTACTCAACAAACAATTTGAAACAAGACATCAAATACCAATCCAAACTTCATATGTTTTGTTGTGGATTATGTGGTTATGATTTCCAGTTCATTTCAATTTTGTTGTACAAGATAATTCTCTCGCCGTGTAGTGTCGGTGTAGGAAAAATCCACTACAATCATTCCGTGGGTGTCGTAAAAGGAGACGGAGGAAAATGCAACAGCAGAAGGACGGCAGCATCTTCCTGATAACAACTCAAATAAGAAAAAAACTGCCGTTGCCAACCATGCCAAGTGTCAGATGACAAATATCCTCCCTATGAGGCAACCTACAGGGGAAGATTATTTTCGAAAATGGACTTCGTTGTAAGGAATTGATGATAAATGAACACTATTCTCTATAAAGAAGCCCTGGTAGTTCCGTTACATTAAGACATTCTAATTCTTACAAGTAACATTTATAATAAATATTTACATCAACTTAAACTAACAATTATATATTCGACAGATTACAAATATTGAAACTTAAAAAAAAAATCACATTGTCAAAAATACATGATAAGTTTATCTGGCCCCCCCAAAACGGTTTACCCTGTTCATTGGGACCAAAAATAGAGTCTAAAAACTAGCCGCTAACATAAGTAACAAATATCCGAATAATTAGATTTCTTTTATGCAACTTTTTATGTTTTTAGGTAGCCGAAATTATTATTACCCAAATATTGAGGTATTGTAGTCACTTTCAATTAAATATATAGATAGTTACTTCACATAAGAAATTACACAAAAGCGTAATGTTTATATAATATGATTTTTAAGTCTTTTACAAATAAATGTATGAAATAGTACTGCAAATTAACTTTGTTCTCCCTTTTAAAAGGAAAAACTTGATTATATGTTATATTATATAAATGCTATATTACGATTTTTGTTTACGGTGATTGTTATCATAATATAATTTTTATGTGTGTATTTTTGAAAATGTTTAAGATTTAACCATATTTACTATTTGTTATAATATTTTATTATTACATAATTTAATACAACATAAAAAGCGGATACTTTAGACAAAAATATATTGCAAGTTATCTAATTTATTTCAATTTAATACAACCTTTTATAATAACGATTGGTTCTTTTAACAGTAATGTAATTAATTTAAAATAAAATAGTAATCATTGAGACCTATCCACAAACAGTCAGTTTTATTTTGTTCATACATCTCAACTAAATAGAACAATCAAATTCAAACTGTCCTTTTAATTCTTTTTAGAGAAATCCTTACGACCTTCTTCTGGTTTTTCTACAGATCAGAGCAGAGAGTTTGCAACAGTTTGTAGATATAGGAACATGTTGTCACCATTATGTTCAAAACACAACTGTTTGGGACATAATGGTGACTTTGATTTTGGTGTAAATAAGCCATTATAAGTTAAGCATAATATTATAAGTATAATACTGCTATGTGCCTTGTACACATTCTATGTAGTTGTATCAGTATTACAAAAATGTTCTACACAGTTCTATTCTGGATCCGGAAAACAGAATTTCTACTGTTTCAAGTTTGTAACTATTACACAATAAAAATTACAATGGTACTATGGTCTGCAGATATTTTGTGCCGTCGTAACCATCAATCTAGCTTTACTCAAGTATAATATTGTATGTAAAACAAAAAAAAAATAGTACCACTTATTAAATATTTTTATGACAATGGTTGAGAAATAATACCATAAGTCATAGAGTAAATATCGGTCAGAGCTATTATATAAAAAATCGACATTTTTAACAAGGATTTAGTAAATTATATTTTATAATGTGGAATGCAAAGTTTCTACCAAAGCAACATTTATTTCGCAAAATAATTAAAAGAAATATTGATTTATTAATTAATATTGATGTAAAATAAACTTGTAGAAAAAATGAATAATAATATTAAGCCAATAGTTTTTTTGCCGAACTCACTCAGTTGAGCCAATTTAATAAGCAACCAGTCCATTCTTATTTTGATTGCATTGTATAAGTCACAATCTCCATTCTTATACATCGAGATAACATTTACCGTCACTACCATACACTTCTTACACCGAAACTGCCAATTCTTTGTCAACTTAATCACTATCACAATAACATAGCGTCACTGTCGCAAAGACGCCTCTTAGTGTCAATTTTCACGTATAATGAGGATCTTTTTGAAGTCCCAGGATCATTCTGGCTCCGTATACATAAATGAGAACTTAACGTGGCTGGTGGGGTTCAGGGCCTTAGCTTCGATAAGGCATTGGACAACCCACGTTGTTGACACAAGCGGTATATTATCTTCACTGGCCTTGTTCTGCACTTCGTGCGGACATTCCCAATCGGTGACAAGGACTAAAGCTCCGGACGTGTTTATGTCCTCTTCATTTACTATTCGTGTGGTTGCCCCAGCTAATGTGCATACACGTTCCCAAAATTTAACGAAGTCCTGATCGGCGCAAAGGAGTATTACCTTATCCTTGAAGAATGCAGCATTGCGTCTACCTGACGGTGAATTCTGTAATTTATAAGTATTTAATTTACTAGATGGTAGATATTTTGTTTATTAGAGTATTATTTTTATTATAGAATAAGGGTGACAAAGGAGCACACAGTCCACCTGATGGTAAGTGGATGCTGTGGCCCATAGACATCTGTCTATATTTAACCTCAATTAAGAATCAATATGCATATGTGTTGTCACCCCTAAGGACTAAGATGGAATACTTTAATTCCAGTTAAACAGGTCTGTGAGTGTCTTCGGGTGGTGAGTGTAGAGTACCCTCCGGTACCAGAACCACAGCAGCATTAAGCTGCTATTTTATGTTGGTATTCTGTAAGAGCGTGGTCCTTCCATTCATGCTACAACCATAATATAGCAGCAGTGTGGTTCATGCTACAACCATAATTAAGCTGCAGCGTGGCTCTTACACAAATAAAATAAAAAATCCCTTTAAATCTGTCACTGAGGAGTAGCAGTGCAGTTTTTTGTTTCAATTGGAAAAGACAAATATATTAGTTGCCTACCTTAAAATAATAGTCCCATAAACCAACCACACAATATAAGTGAAGCACAATGGTGTTTGCAAAAATATGCCCACAGTAAAAGTAAAAATGCTTGCATAACACAAATCAATTTCCTTGATTTGTGTTTTTAACGTGGTAGAGCCTGGCTGCAGTTATTGTAAGTGGATGCTGTGGTCCCATAGACATCTTCTACATTCGTAGTAGTATAGTTGTAGCATGAATGTGTCGGCTCGACTGAGGAAGGACCACGCTCTCACAGAATACCAGCCTAAAATAGTAGCATACTGCTGCTGTGTTTTATATGGTGAGAACCGAAGAGAGAACTGGAGACCCTTATTACTGGAAACGAGGCATACCATCTTAGTCCTCTTCGGTGACAACGCATTCGCATTTTGATTCGTAATCGAGGATAGATGTAGATGTCTATGGGCCACAGCAACCACTTACCATCAGATAGACTGTGTGCTCCTTTGTCACCCTATCCTATATAAAAAAATATTAACAAGGAGCAAATTACTATTTACGCAAACATACTTCAAAACCTTTGAAGTAATTTGACTGATCAACAGGATTAAGTTTTTTATTTTTAACAATAAAATATATAGTACAATTTCAAGCTCACAGAGCTCACAACTCTGGAATATACTGTCGTCAGCCGTTTTTCTGGACCGATATGACTTAGGAACTTTCAAGAAAAGAAACCTACTTCTTCTCTTCCTAAAAGCCCGGTAACGCTCCTTCATTTCCCCTGGTGTTGCAGATGTTCATGGGCAATGATGATCACTTATCATCAGGTAAGCCGTATGCAGGTTTGCCTCTTTTTCCATACAAAAAAAGACTTAAGTGTTCCGTTAAGTGCAACCGACGCCACACCTAGAACGAGTTAGTCGACGTCGACTACTCTTTGTCTTATGAGTATTTCTGATCCACACCTGGTCGCCGTATGCTGCATGCCAATGCCTCGTATAAAAACCTGGTCCTACATGTGAGACATCTTAATCCACAGAAGTAACAATGTATCTTCTTTGATTTTTTTAATAGAATGAGGGTGAAATACAAGCACACAGTTCACCTGATGGTAAGTGGATGCTGTGGCCAATAGACTACTTTAATCTTCAATAAAGAATCAAAATGCAGATGCATTGTCACCCCTGAGGGCTGAGATGGAATGCCTCATTTCCAGTAAAAAGGGTCTCCGGTTCTCTCCACTCACCATATGAAACACAGAAACATTAAGCGTCTATTTTACTCTGGTATTCTGGGAGAGTGTGGTCCTAATCCGGTCGAGTCAACCCATTCGTGCTACAACCATAACATAGCTGCAGCGTGGCTTTACCTGGACTAATATATACTTATCTGGTAGATTGCAAAATAAAACCAAAATAATACTAAATAAAAAAGAAAATAATATAATCAAAATAGAATAACCAGTATGTGTTGCCAGTGATGATTTATGGATCTGAGACATGGTCCTTCATTGCTGGTCATATGATGAAGCACAAAGTCGCTCAGCGAGCTGTGGAGAGGGCTATGCTCGGGTTTCTCTGTGTGATAAACTTAGAAATGGCGATATCCGCAGTAGAATCAGAGTGACCGACATAGCCCAACGGTTTAGTAAGCTGAAGTGGCAATGGGCCGGTCGTATAGCTTATAGAACCGACAACCACAATCGATGGGGAAAAAAGGTGGATGGAATTGAGGCGTTGTTGCGTCACGTAAACATTAGGCTCTTTATTAATTTCGTTTTAAAAATAGTAAATCATAAAGTTTGATTATAAAAACTGTACATTCAATGAAGTTTAAGTGCAATACCCATGAAAAAGTGTTATCTTATAGTGACGTAAGCCAAAAACGTCATTATAGCCGGTACAAAAGTAATATTTTTTCTTGTCGATAAAAACTGTTTACATCTTTATAAACAATTGAAACCCGTGGGAAAAGGTAAAGTTATCAGTAAAAACAGAACTGTGTAAAATATTAGTGCCTAAAATACTTTCAAGTGAACCTAATTAGTTTTCTCAACCGTTATTTTAATTTGAACACCAAAACGGACTTTGACCCTAGTGCTTAAACTAACATCGCAAATAGCCAACCACATCTGTCGTATATTGCATGAACTATTTTCACCTGCAACCAGCTAGCGCCCAGCACCGATAATAACAGTCACTCCGCGTAAATGCTTTGCTATTGTCCGTTCATCGTAACTTGACGCGTGATCCGATTGGTAGCCCTGTAATTTACAGTGTTGCATGTTTCAATGCGAATGGCGTTCCCGAAATGTAGGGACAGGTATTATAGAACGGGATATAAGAGCATGTATGCCAGAATCTCAAGCACGAGGTTGTGGGTTCAAACTTGGCATGTTCAGTCGAACGCAATTAGCGCTAACAGTTAAGCCTCAAAAACATCTTTATTTCGTATGAGTAAGGGTATTAATTTCGAAATTCAACTGTTACGGAGGTGCTGATGACTATACTTATGTGACTTTTTAAGTGTCATAGTGTACTCTCTGAAACAATTCATATATCAATGGGGACATTCAGGTTAAATTAATTAAGACAGGGTTAAAATAATCACTTTATATAATTATGATCAGTAAGGTGTAAAGGGATCATATTTTCTTCAATGTTACTTGGATGCTCATTGTCACTATCACTTTCGTCAGTGTCACTGCTAACTGACAATAAAAAGCGATCACTTCCTTCAACTATTATTTTATCTTTCACTATTGTACTCATCTTCAATTTTTGTAATATGTGAGTACTCTTTATTCCAAAGCTGATTGCTTATTGAGCGTTTTTGTGTTATTTTGATCATCATTACCTCAATTGGATTTAAATACGTATAATATGGGGACAGTTGCAAAACGTTATGACCATGTGATTTAATTTTTCAGCTTTATACGTGGGTTTTGGTTCATTTTTTTAATTAATTCATATAAAACATTTTTTGGCAAATTTGGTGAAAACAACAGTCCCTCGTTTTGAAGCCACTCTACCATATTTACTTTGAGGCTTGCTACATTAGGGCTTTTATATGTTTGAACAGTGTGATATGGTGCATTGTCCATCACAATCACACAATTACGTGGCAGGTTTAGTAAAACAGTCGTTATGGTAGTCTGTTGATTTAGTTTGTGACTTGAATAGCAGTAACTCATTATTGATAAAGCAGTCCGTAGTTCCTGAATCTGTGTATGTCCCTGAATCCTCTGACCAATACACCTTCTTCAGAAACTGACCGCCAAATTTGGGACCCCATATGAATAATGCATAAATGTTTCATCTAAGTAGACTATAGTCCGCCTCTCTTATCGGTATTCTTTCAATTTTATTCAAGTAATTAAATCGTCAGGCAGATATATCTGTTCGTTTCACAAAATTTTTTCGTTTTGATTTACACTTTTTGTATTTATATCCTAGTCGTTTTAACATTTTTCATAGTTTCATACACACCTTTAAAATTTATTTCATATGGCAATTCGACAAGTAATTTGTTCAACGTAGGAATTTATTTTCGTACAGTTATCGCGTATATATATATATATATATATATATATATATATATATATATATTTTCTACACCTTACAATTATTTTAATTTCATTTAGCATTTTACAAACTGTTGTTAGTCTAAATCTTTGTAACTGGTCACCCTAAAAATATACCGGTCATGGCGGCAATTCAGGCACGAACATGTTGCAATGGCTAAATCAGCTTGTTTTCAGCCTTTTCTTTTTACAAAAAATGCATACACTTGAAGAATAGTTTGTCGTTTAGCAATTTTAACCACTTTCAGCATTTTTAAAACTAAGATTACATAATTAAGAAGCAAAAGAGCACACAGATAGCAACCGATCAAGTTCAAAGAAAGATGACGGCTAAGGAAACAGTGCTACCAATCACTCACGCGTCAAATTAAGATGAACGGACAATAGTACGCATATTAACTGTTTCTGGTACTGACGGAAAGATGGCGTTAAATTGGATTAAGTGCAAAACATCCATAGCAAATAAACAATTTCTTAGTTAGTTGCGTAATCGTTGAAGTTTTGTGATTGTGATTTTAGTTGGATTTTCTTTCAAAAAAAAAAAAAAAAACTGTAAGTAATATTATTTATCTTTACTACGTAATGTTTTTGAATGATTTAAGTTACAACAACAGTAACTTTTTTATGTTTCAATTGATAAAAAGTAGAAAAACGCATAACGGTCAAGATTTCTAATAAGATAATAATAGTATATTTCTTATTGGAATACCATAGTAAATACTTTTACTAGGAATTACTAAATGTTATATCTATGATTGTATAAGAAAAATAAAGGAAGACGCTATAAAATATATACCCAAAAAGGTTTTGAAAATGAGTTTACAAAGCGCGCGCAAACTGTCTATTGTCGAATTTTTAGCAAATGTTTGCAAGTGAAAAAGTAGAATTATTATAATTATTACATGCATAATCTCGGTTCATTTACGAAGAATATGTTGTAT